ATTACATACATTCTGATTTCCGATAAAAATCTACAAGTATGATCCAATATACGAAAAAAAGATTTAGATGTGTTTAGTGCACCTAGGGACTAAACCACTTTATGTGCAAGGTGAAAAAATTATCTATAGCTGAAAATTAATAAACAGCACCTATACAAACTAATTCCTAAAATACACTCACTGCAAACATGCGTATATCGAGAGCAAAGATACAATTATAATCCAAACACTCCAACTATAAAACAAAAGGACATTAGAAGGAAACACAAAACCTATCATAGCTAGTGGAAATGAATGTTCTGTTCTACAAAGGTCGCTAATATTCTATTATATTTAGTATTTTTCACTTCTTTTGAGATAATATTATATATTTTTGAAGCAAGATAGCAAATCCATCTAGTATTCGTATATTGGCGATTGGCGGTAATATTTGGAATTATTGAATCTCTATTAACTTTATTGCGCGTTTCGAATAAATGATCTACATCACATTCACATCTCAAGTCTTGATTTCTGTGAGCAAAGACCGACATTGAAAGAACGCGTAAAGAGTTCGAACATTTAGTACCTACTTCCGTTGAATACAGTAGCTGAGTTGAGTATCGTTTATTTCTCTTGTAAATAGTATTTAAAATTTAATTTTGAGTCACCTTCAAGGATCGCAACGAGATCCATATATTCCCCTCACACAACTATACCATATCTTATCAGGGACTCAATGAGTACCTACTTTTTAAACTGAAATCGCTAATTTTTCATTCAGTATTTCTTTGAGGATGTAGAATTCATGTTTAAGCTTTCTTATGTTTGAGGTTAGCTTCAATACATGAGATCCCCATTTAGGTGTTTATCGATGATAATTCCAAGATTTTTTGTCGAGTCTACTTCGAATAATAGGGATTGTTAATAATGTCAAGCTCTTTATAGTAAGGGAGATTGGAAGATGTGAGGGAAAAGCCCATATAATTTGTAGCGTCTAGTTTGAAAGTGTCTAGCCATTTTTCAAATGTTGAAACACCATGTTTCGCCGATTCGTTTAATTGAGCCCAAGTGTCTCCTACAAATGTAACGGCTGTATCATCAGCATATGATATGATGGATCTATCTTTTATAGTCACGTTTGCTAGGGAATTTATTTAGGTAATGAAAAGTACTGGACACAGAATGGTACCGTGAGGAATGCCAATCCTAACGGTTTGTAGGTTACTTTGGTGTCCTCTATTTTTACCACCTGCTGTCTGTCCAGTGGAAGTAATTAAATCTCTTGGTCCCGATTCAGTCCCTTCACTGTTGTTGGATTAAATTCAATCAATTAATGGCAATGTCTGATCTTGTGCCAATATACAAAAATGTCGAAAACGTTCGATCTATACCTAACATGTCGCACTACCCTAAAATCTTTGACCGCAGTTGGTAACGGAGTTTTTGACGACGATATTTTCTAACGTGCTTATAACTGATCAGCAGGGCAGTGATAGTTGTTCCACCAACTCTCATTACTGCTATAAAATATCTGTTACATTTGGATCACCTCCGGGGGATGCGGGCACCTTGCACCTCTCTTATCCGGCATCCTCATCAATGACGTTATAGAGAACTTCCTTCAAACATTGCCAAATCCTCCTATATGCAGATGGCTTTTAAATTCTCAGATGTATATGAATAAAGATGGTGCCTTCGTGGGCATGCACGAGGATTTTCCTAGGTTTTAACATTAGTGTGATGCGGGCAACACCAAAGCATCATATGTACACATGCATTTTAGCAGAAAGGTAGATCAGAGATCGAATGTTTATGATTACTTGGAAAGTACTAAGAAAAAGGTATCACTGCTCTCTACGGCCAGAATTCTCGCCAACTGACTTATTTATTTGGCCGAAAGAATAACCTACCCGAAACATAGTTTGGTCTTACACCCCTACTGCAAGACAAACCCAAGAAAAATCGAAATAGCATTTATAGACCTTATCAAAGCCTTAGGCTGTTTTAATCAAGTAGCTCTTTGAAAAAATCTAGCATTGAACGGCTGTCTGCCCAAATTTATCAATATACTCCGATTACCGTATATGACAACATAAATTCTACTGTCCTTACCAACAACAAACTCGGACAAGCCTACGAGATATCAACCGGACTGAAGCAAGCTTATTATCTATATTTTGTAGGAACCATTTTTCGCTTTTCACAAGAAAACATGCCGTTGGGTGGCAAAATCTCCCTAGAACTGATGGTGAGCTATTCAAGCTTAGGAAACTTTGAACCAAGACCAAGGCATCCACAACTCTTTGTGAACTTCAATACTCCCCTATATCTAGATGTGAAATCTGGAGCACCTACCAGCGACACCTGGGGCAACTGCCAGGTTCCCCGGACGAATAACAATCACGAATAACTGTCCCCTTGGGGAAACAATTTCTAACAGAATTGAGGCAATGTGCATCAAACATACATCATCATATCGTCTGCATGCTAAACCCACGCCTTCCTAAGCACATAAGGTATTCCGGACTTGGAGATAGTCAACGCAACTAAGGAGGGCAGTTTGAACAATACAAAGATGTTCCCAAGACAAACGTGACCCAACACATACAAGAAAACATGTCAGATCGATGTGGGTGACTCAGAAAAAAATTATTTTTTGTATACAAAATTGAAAAAACTTTATTGTCATGAAGGTGAATTTAATTATATTCGATAAAACTTAGTCTTTGCCTTGATCTTAGACCAAAATAATATTAAAATGTAAATAAAGTAGATAGAAACCATTGCAACAGTGGCGGATACAGGGGGGGGGGGGGGCATCGGGGGCAACTGCCTCCCCTTTTTAAAATAAAATAATAGAATTTAAAAAAAAAGGAAACAAAACCATATTTTAAAATTTTTTAAAAAGCTGGAAACCTATAAAAAATCACACTTTTATCCCAAGAACTTTAACCTCAAACAGTTAGCACTATTGTCACTACCTAAGTAGCGCTTGAGTTGATGTATTGTTTTTTTTTTGTTCTAATAAATAAATATTCATAGAAAATCAATAATAGTAGATCTGTTTCTGCAGAAATCACAAACCAGTCAGACTGAATTCCATTGGTTGAAACTAGTTTTCTGACTGTTTTCAACCAATGAAATTCGCTGTGACGACTGGTTTGTGATTTCTGCAGAAACAGATCTATCATGTACCATCGTACCAAAAGTAATTGGGAGAGCATCATATTAGCTCCTGCACTATTATAGATGTCAGGTATTTGTCAAACTGTGAATAATTTTAGGTTTATCTAGGTTAGCTTGGAATAGTCCAGGAGTCCAGGAGATTAACATGAATTATTTTTGTCCCAGTTACTTTTGGTAACGATGGTACCTACCTATTGAAAATCACCTTATTTTTCTAAGTAGTTCTCCCATTCCCATATGTTTAAGGGCCATTCCTTGGAAAACCCGTATCTTGCACAATGCGCCGACAAAACTAACCCAAACTAATCCAGTCTGGCTTAATTTGGTTTAATTTAAAGGGGGTGTGCGCCAGAAATTGAAGTTTTAGTGTAAAAAAATCTAAGAATAACTGTTCAAACCTCGTTATTCTACGACAAACCATCGCTGAGATATACCACTTTAAAGTGTGTGTGACGTCACGAGAGCTTCGTTCAGCCGCGCTCCGCATTGTTAATTTGATTATTCCCGGCACGCGTGGGTGGTTTTTGTTTAGATTATTGCAGGTGACACAGGCAAAACATATGTAAATTCAATTTACTTCACTTTCTCGTACTTCGCTTGAGCTTTCGTGACGTCATACGGTGAGATGCGGCACCTTCATAGAGCCATATCTTCGGTATTATTTGTCATAAAGGGGTGCGGTTTTCACTGTTATTCTTAGATTTTTTTTCTCTTTTTTTTTAGATGAAGTTGTTTTTTTGGCGCACACCCCCTTTAACTTAACCTGCCCCCCCCCCCTTTCGAAAGGCCTGTATCCGCTCCTGCATTGCAACAAAAGCAGATCTCTTTTCCAAACAATTTGCATCCAATTCTACGATGGTGAACAATAGCAGAGCGCCACAGGTACTGCCGCACATTGGTTCTTACATGGACAAGGTTGTATTCAGACCTAAAGCTATTAGGAAAATTTCTCTGCAAATTGACGCTGGGAAATTTTGTGATCAGAACTTGCGCAAAATAATTGAGCAATAAAAGAGATTGATAATCCAACTCACACCGACATTCTATTGCTATTATCATGGGAGATGTTCTGATGATCTGGACATCAGCCTCATTCCAGTTGGAAAAGGTTATCTAAGAACCTCTCAGGCATCCCATCCGTATGTGGTAAAGCTACCCCGAGGACCTCTCTAAATACAGGGCTTCTTTTTGGTGGCGTACTTCCCTCCTCTGGAACTCCCTGCCTCCTACACTTCATTTCCTGAACGATTTAACCTTAACGTGTTCAAACGGAGGGTAATCCTCACCTATTTTCTTTCGCTCATAGTCCGCTTAGGGCCGCTTTCCCAATAGCGAGTCACCTCCGGGTTAGTTTTTACTTCAGGGTCAGCGTGTCCAGTTGCAATGTTTACCATGGAGTTCAGCTTAACTCGGGGGTGACTTGCTATTGAGAAACCGGCCCTTAGGTAGTATAGACTTTTGTGAGCACACCAATTTAAAAAAAAAAACATTTTTTATAATCAACCCTGTCATCGATTTCAAGCTACTCGAACTTGCAGAAACAAACCATAACAAAAATGTTTATATTCTAGAAATGAAAAATGTGCCCAAACGTTGAGAAACATTTTGACGCACACTGTGTGGTCGTGGGTAAAGTACCTAGGCATAATACATAGGTACATAGTTTGAGTTGCAAAGCAATTACGCTCCAATAAAATTAACTCATTCAGTAATATGGCTGCTTATAAAAAAATTAAACACCCACTACTTTTATTTGGTCTGATAGGCATCTGCTATTAGTAAATAGTATTCAGAAAAATGAAAATAATAATATGTGTTTGCAGTTAACATACCTTGTTGGAAATAATTAGCTTTCCTAACGTAAACGCAGACTAAAGCCATTAGTTGGAGTTGAGAAAGTCGCTGCCTCGTAGAAGGTGGCAAAGGTAACAATTCTCGAAGATTAGCTATTTCTGCATTGATCAGGTCCCGTCGAAGTTTGCTGGCCCCTTTGGTCGATTTATTCGCATCAAACCTGAAAAAAAATATACGATATAATTGTACCGAGAACGATATCGACAAAAAACAACCAAGGCAACTCGCACGGGTAAACCACAGAATAGAGAATAATTAAAAGAGCAAGTAAAGAAGATGTAAACACATTGACTGCAAAAGAAAAAAAAAAGAGCCACGCTACGTTGTGGTTGCGGCACTTTTAGTTGCTTAATTTATAATCTACGGTAAATTTATAGGTCACTTAGAGCTTGCCAGCCTTAAAATACGTTGTAACTCGTGAAAAACGTGTTCGAAAACCTTTTTTATAGCACTGCCGTCGCGTACCGTACTGTATCGCACATGTAACTAAGCGACCCTTTACTCTTGTTTCTACATGGTGGTACTTCATTTAAAAAAGACCAGAAACAAAACTGTTCACATTAAATTATTGTTTGTATTTTTTTTTTCTTGCTTTTGCTCTTATTGAATTGAAACTAATTGAATATTCTTTTGTGGAGTAGATTACGGGTTTTCGTCCTATGTGACTGTTTATTTCGGTTCTGGTACACTTCAAGCGAAGTTGACAAAATGAAGTAAAGCAGATTAGAATAAATATTATTGATTGATCTGTCTTAAAGGTCGAGAAAATGATACAAAGAAAAATTACACTAGCATAATTTTCGATAAAAAGTTATAGAATTATTTATAGATCTGGCTGTTGATTTGTTTTAACTAATATGTACCTTAGTCTATTTTTCGATTTTAATGAAACGCGGAGTATCGTATGGCAAATATATTGTAATCGTTCCGGTGCAAATTAATGTGAGTAGGTAAATTATTTAAGTAGGTAAGTAAGTATTTTAAAAATAGGGTTAGACCAAAAACTGTACATTGTGAAATTGACAAGTGAGTCAATTTTAAATCTGAAAGAGGTTAATTTCCCAGGAGAAGATGTAAATTGGTTCCAAGAAAAAGAAAATCATGGTTGGTCCAAATTTTCCAGGAATGCGGTTATCGACCGTTTTTTGGTAAACCATTTATTTTTGCTTGTATCAATTTTATTTTGTAATAGCTGTCCTATGGCACGCGTTTTTCAATACTTGATTATGCGGTTTCAGTGGACTTTATGATGTACCATACAGTTTTTGGTTAACATAATAATTTTTGTATTGGTCTTTCAGTTTTTTTCTTGAGGTTCAGGTTCAGCTGAATACTGCGTTGTACTTGATTTTAATTCAGTAGTTCTTCTGCGAAAACCCAATGACATATGGAATGTGAACTGTTGGTCCCTACTGTTCGTATTGCTCTTTGTTTTGTCTTTTTTTCTTTCCTAGGTTCTCAGAATTTTCATTGTTTACGTTTTTTTAGTATCTTTTGTATTGCAAAGATTTTATGCTTTGTCTCATAAAGAGGTGATAATCTCATGTTTAATAGCTTGGCAGCAGACTGTTAGTAGTTGGTTTTCTCTACATTCACATTGTTTTCCACTTCCAGTACAGAGCCTTCTGTCTGCTGTATGGACCATCTGGTGGCAGACATAGACAGATCTCTCATGAACGATCCCAGTGTCGGCTGGGAAAAATTGCACTGTTGGACTACATACTGGATTTGTTCTATTTAAAGTCCGGTATTTTGTGATATTATGGTACCTTGAATCTCTGATCATCAGGTGGTCTTCAGTTTTCCATCTTAGGTTCAGGATAACTGTATGGAGGAATCGTATGAGCCTATTTACTCACCACCCAACTTTTTGAAACTTTTGTAAATATTAGTAATGGTGTCAATTGGGAGGCAATTTTGAGCAGTCTTGGTCTTAGTCCTGTAGAAACAATTCAGAAATTGCTTCCTAATCCTCTTGAAAAGTGCCATGAACCATGGATTTCAAGGAGTATGAAGAGTTGTTCTGGGAAAATACGTTGCCTCCACTACGTCAGGTATTTTGTCAGTCTCCGCGTACTGTCTTTTTCGATTACTTTAATAATAGTGAGTATAGGATAATGTAGCTCTCTGGCCTCTACGATGCGTAAGTGGTCATTCATATCTCCGAGTTTTCACGCAAAGGTGAAGAGTAGGCATGTTCCCTAGTACCTCCAACGCTGCTATGGGGCAGGTTGACAAGTGACTGTGGTTCGTGAGATTATTTTGTTCAGAAGGCTGTTTGTAATCCAAGGTGACCCGTTAATACTTTACTTTATCCTGGTGCTCTGAGATCCAGATTCCTTTTCTTGTAAACGGAAATAAGGTGGTTTTGATATGAATTCTTCTTCCTCCAGTTTTTGATCATGTCAGTAGCGTAGTGGGCCCTGTATAAAACTTTCTTAAGGGACCCCTTCCCGAAAATGAAACAGGCTTAAGGGCCCCACACACTGCGTTCTGTTTCGTCGGTTTTCATCGTCGCGATTAACAACGTCGTGTTTCATCGTCACTTTGTTTTCACCACACACTACGCGATTTTTTAACAGTTGGACCCACATACAACGGTTTTGGAACGAAATATTGAACCGTCGTGAAAAAAATCAAGCTCGGGCTGAATTTTAAACCAAAGATGAAACACGACGGTTTTCTACCACACACTTCGGTTTTAGATCGTCGTGTTTCATCGCGACGATGAAAACCGATGAGAAAGAACGTAGTGTGTGGGTCCTATTAGAGATAAAGCGTTTGATATACATATGTATTTGGAATTCAACAATAAGAATAGGTAACATTGATATAAGTTTTCCATTTTTTTTTTTTCATGAAAATACGGACACTTTCATGAAGCAGCGGTTTAATGTATTTGAGTATGAAGGAAAAAGCGCCGTAGGCGAAAAATTTTTTTGTGTACCACGCCCAATTTTCTAATATTCGTTGGCGCTGCGAGTAGAGTACGGAGATGAGGAAATACAGGATTTTTGGAGACTTTCTTACGCAATCACCATTTATGGTCGATCGATTGATCCATTCTATGCTTTTCAAGATCAAAAGAAATATATCAGAGAATAAGGAACATTTGCTCGTCCCGACAGAAAATTTGAGTACGTGGGACATGAACCTTGAAATAAAGAACTATCCCGTTTAATACGGGACGTATGGCAGGCTACATCAATATTACATTATTTGAAAAACTCTAAGCTTTCAAGCATTCCTTTTATTATTACTGCCAGATTATTTTCAGGGATGACCTACCTAATAGGAATTCTAAACCTTCTATGGGTTGAAAGCATAGTGAGGAAAACCACCTATTTAAAATATTATTTCTTTGAACCTTAACTTTTTAAAAAAAGTTTGCTGAATAAAAAGTAAATGTTGCAACCATGTATTGCTCTGTGGAATTGATGAGAACGAGAGTGCGCTGCAATGGAAAGGTACCAAAGCTTACGAAGGGGAGATAGGGAATACGCAAATAGACTAGAGAACAAGCTGGGCTGGTCCTTTAGACGCGTGTTTGTAATTATTCATTATTCAATTTTCATTTTTATTTTGCATTAAATTGATTGTTGAATCCAATTTGTTATTTGTGTGTGTGTCAAGGAGCGATTATAGGTCAGTTGAATAATTGTTATTTTGTTTTTGAGAGTTCAATTATTTATACAAGTGTCATTTTTCTCTTTCCTATATTTTTTTGTTTGTTTATAACTTTTTTTTATAACATGGTTCGAATAATTGGCGAACAGTCAATATCGTATCAATATAGATTTATTACTCTTTAACAAGTGCTTTTTTTATAGCATATGCATTGTTCATGTATTTAACAAAAATCGTTTCATGCTGTAAACAACACAGATAAAGGAGTAAATTGAAACCTAGAAAAATTATGTGCTGTCTCTTTGTGCTAGGATTTCGATTTTTCGATTTAGAGCGTACATTAGGGCCTTGTTGAATTTACTAACATTTTCCTACCTTGACGGGAGAATATCCTAGCAAATTGAAATAATCAATCTAGAGATATTGGCTCAAAAATAACTATAGCTGAGTAGCTTCCCGCATGGGACCTCAGTACCTGCTGGGAAACTGGCTAACTAACGAAAAACTCTTCAGTATTGAATATAGGTAGTGTTGATTGAATGAAGTGTGTGTAATTGAAATTTTAGCACAAGAACAGGGGCGGTCCCTAATTTAAACTTTATTATTAAAATGACACAGTATGTTTCGATTTTTGAGGAATGTTAGATCGAGGGTTTCTCTGCCGCGCTCTTTCCCCTCGTTAGTTCCAGGATGAGAACGGTACGATTTATTTTAATAATAAAGTAGACGTTTCACAAATTTTTCGTTTCTTTTACATATCACAACCTCCCTTAAATTTCCCTAATATTTGTTATGTCGGGCGCATGTCCAGTAAGTAAAATTGAGTAAGTTTTCACAACGTAGGTCCTATTTGTTTTTCATTTCGTTTTTCAGAAGATTTGTTGTTTAAAAGGTAATAAAAATTCTCACAGTTCAATCTTACTGAACGAACCCGGGTATGTTATACTACAATAGAGACAATAGAGACAGTCTTTCTCGTATCTATTAACCAACTACCGTATATCCGATGTCCACCACAGTTTCCGATAATGTAATTTTATGATATGTGAGGAATAATCTAGAAAGTTGCGGATCGAGAATTGACGTGTATCGGGAATTTCTAAATAGAAAAATCTAGAATTGAAAATAAGTTTGGAGTGCTAAGGAAGGAGTCGGCAACTTCAGGGCGTCACTTTTAAGCTATATTTGAGTGATACAAAGTGTTGTAATAATGCTGCTTTTGTCGTGATATCTGTGCAAATGTTTCAATAAAGTTTGATTACATGCAGATGTGGGAACCGGCAAACGTAACAATATTTTGTCTAGTTCAATCCTTGCATACTATTGATTGGTAATACATTGGAAAAAAAAATAAGAACGATGTTTATTATTTTATTTTCCATTTACCCTCTGCCTTGTTTAGTTTAGAAAAGAAAGAAAAAGCTAGTAGGAGAATATGGAGAATCTAACAAAGGCCATATGTCAAAAAATTCTAGATGTGAAATATAAATGCAGATGAGACCAAAAATTACAGGGTAGTCTGATCTTCCAAAA